AGAAGACAACTGCTGAAATGCTGATGGACTGGAACCTGAGGAATATGCTCAAGGAGAATTTTATGACAACCCACTTCCCGATTTTTACATAGTCAAAGATCTGATCAAGAGACGCTCAGGGGAATCCAAGATAGAAGACAAATTTGAAACACCTTGGGAGAACGTCAAGATAATCGTGCCTTATCAAGAAGATCTGAGACCGAGGATTTGGAGAAGTGAAAAGAGTATAAAAAAGGTTGACAAGCTTGAGCTGAGAGGACTGGAACACTAGAAAGGAACTGATGCTTCTGGACACATATGGATGTTACGCAACATGACAGCTGATCAGAATGATCCTTATGGACATCGAAAAAGTTTGATAAAGTATTCTGATTCACCAATCATCGGGATTAAAGCTGTAGAGATCCATAAGTGTGGTAAAGTGTTCTATCTAGTGTATGAGTTTGAACGAAAAAATGGCATGATTCAAAGAGCTTCTGAAGCTGATCTGTACTGTGTTGATGCAACTGATCTCATCCAATTACTCTATGAGTACAGATTCATCAATTTGAAGGACTTATCACAAAAGGACAAGATCTAGGTCTGAATACAATCAAGAGGTTCATGATGAGACAAGTCAAATATTATTCTCTCGTAAATATGACTGCTCCGAGAAATGGCCATTGAAAACAATTTTCTGAAAGTAAATATGACTGCTCCGAGAAATAGAGCTCCATGGATCGAAAATTTTGAAGAAGGTGCCATCGTTACACATCCCGAGACATGACTCGTCTACACAGATTACAAAGGCATCAAGCGGATCCTGCTCTTAGAAGAAATTCACAAGTATTGCGATGGTACGCTCAGGATAATAGAAGAACATCTTGAAGAAGTCGCGCTGAAATTGAAGAAATCAGAGAATCCAGACGACCCAATCTTGATGGCTCTCATCGGAGATTTTGCCGAAGCCATAGGAGTCAGACTTCAATTCAGAAGGACTCTCAAACATTATGAAGTCGTCCTTGGCTATCGAAAGTCATTGTCAAAGACTCAAAGATAATATGCGCTTCATCGACATTTGAACACAAAAGGGTCAAGAGAATGTTAGAATATTATTTTATTGTGTTCAAATTAATTGTATTTTATTTAATGAGCCTTTGCATTTAATTAGAATAGCTGAGAGAGAATTAGGCCCAATTATAAGTGCTCTTATAAGCCCACACGCCTAAGTTGTTGTTTCTTAGTTGTATTAGGCAGTTCGAATATCTCTCTTATAAATATAGGTTGAGATGGCCGAATCTGCTCTCTAAGTCTCTACACATTCTATTCTGCATATTATTGTGGTAGAGCACGTAGATTAGAAATTCTCTCTCTAGCTTGTTTGAGTATTGTGTATTGTTTTTCATGGATTCATCATTATATATACACGGTATACGTTATTAGTGAAATTTCTCTTCTATTGTTTTAATTATTTCTATTATCATTAGACTATTCGACTGTTGAATCTGGGCATAATACACACAGTGGCTGAGAACTGAAGGAATCTCTTCAATAGGCGTCTACAATAAGACAACCATATCTAAGACTGAACAGGACATGGATCCAAACGACAAGGGAGGTGATTGCCATGGAATGATGGTGACTACTACTGGAACAGGGGGGCTCGGCTGGGTGGAGGTCCAGGAGACCATAAGAGGAGACACACATGTGAGGAGCAGGAGCAGGGCGATGATGTGGTGGAGGAAATGGCCCTAGACGGGCCAAAAACGGGAATGGGGTGGGCTTTGGGTCCCATGCCCGCCAGAGCTCTTGAGGATTTAGAAAGCTATGATGATTGAAAGATATTTTTATTTTGCTTATTTAGTTTTTTTCATATCTCGCTTTTATTTAGATATCTACTCTATTTTGGTTGTGTTGTGTTTTTTCCAGCAAAAAAAAACTCTAGACCGTAGGACAGGTGATGATGAGTCTGGTTTGCCCGTCATTGGCTCAACTAAGCCCATAACGGGATCAACAAATCACATTGCTTCTGTGGAGGTGATAGATTCTAAGTCCGATTCTAGGGTGGACGTCATAAAGAACGCTTGTTGTCACTTTGTAACCTGGTTACGTTATGTTATCATAATTTAACCCACTTTCGTTCAAAAAAAATCTGTCATGCCAAAAATTCAATTAGGAATTTTTAAAGACTTTTTAAATAATACAAAAGTTAGAAGACAATGATTTTTGCTTACCAAACATGCACAAAGTATATAAGCATTAAATTATCCTTGTAAAATATGGAATTTCTAGTTTCACAATTTATACGGTACACCGGGTGTATGTGTACAGACGTCAATTTTGTAATATAATACAACTTTGATGGAAAAGGTTATGTAGTCTCCTACTCCTGATTGCTTTACGTTACTGAGCTTCTGTTTACGTTGTGCGTTGACCGAGCACACTCTTTCCTTCGTTTTTATTTCTTCTCCTTTTCTTCCTTTTTAGTTTATATCAACAATTTTTAATTTACTTCTAGTGAATTTCCTTCCTTTTAAGTATAAATGAGATGATAATTTGATTAAAATATCTATCCCTCTCTCTTTAATAATACTACAGATTTTTAAAGATGCTTCCTAAATATTGAATGCCCATCAAGTGTTTGAAAAAATTCCGAAGTGAATGTTCATTCTTATCTTGGTGAATTATTTTATTGTTTGATGCATTTGTATAAAAGCTACTTATTATTATAAATAAGGGGGTATTTGAATCCGGTTCTTAAAACTGCTTCTGATCCTTCAGGGAGCAGAAACAGAAGTTGGAGTGTTTGGGTGAAAGTGCAGAAGTGATTCTGGTGCTCTAACTTACTCCTAGAATCAGTTTGTTTAGAAGCTGGGGGTGACGAGCTTCTGAAAACTGATTCTTATTCTGCTTCTGCTTTAAAAAAGAAGCGGAAGTAGAATCAGTTCCAAACACCCCCTAAATTTTCTTAATATTTCTCATAATAAAATATACACATAATTGATTAAAAGAATTAATCATATTAATGCTATTCGCAAATAATATACATTTGAATGAATCTTATCTTATACTCCAATGAGTATAATGTTTAAATGGAATGTGTATTGATATAATGTTTTAAAATGAGTACTCATGGAGGCTATTAAAATGAGTGTTGTGTTATATGATAATGACTATAACATTTGAAGTAAATGCGCATTGATGTAACATTAATGAATATTTGAACACATTGGAGATTTAAAACGAGCTTTTGAATTTTTCAATATTCATTTTGAAAAATGTGTATACTCGTTTGGTACTGGTTTTATGCTCATTTCAAAATGTCATATCAATATCGACGAAACTCACGCAACTAGATTGGAGCTTGCTTACATAATTTTAACTCGTACTCAATAGTAGAAATGAACATAGACAAATGAGGATTTGAGCATGATGGAGTTTAATGCAACTACGAGAGCTAATTTACGAGAGCAAATGAAATTTGTGCAGTGTAAGACAGTATTATTATCCCAGAATTCGGATCCTTGGTAGGATATGTACAAGAAGTATTTATAGATCTTAGGTTCCAGTGTTCTAGGAGGAAACTGATACATTTAATGCAATTAATTAAAATAGAGTCATGTAACGTCTCGAACGTTATGCAATGATTGTTTCCCTCAGGTCCACGTTCATTCCGTTATGTCCTGTCGCTGCCAGATAGCTATGCACGAATGATAGCTTGCCATATAAGCCCTAGGAAGAGTCTGACCTCGCTAGAACTCCGCCCAAGCTCGAGGTCTGCTGTCCAGCCCGGCCTGGTTGTGGGTTCCTTTCGCTGGTTGGATTCCTAGTTAGGCCCGGACCGACAACTATTGTCTATTATTATTCCCGATTAATGGGCTTATCCCGTGGATGGGTTGATCCCGTTGATGGGCTGATCCCGTTGATGGACTTTACTTTAATTCAATCTTGGGCCATGACTGTGATCCATGTTACCATCAGAGCACATTAACGATTTCAAACGACGTTTTGAATTCTTCGATACTCATAGGTCACAATACTCAATTGCAGGTTTTTAATACTTAACATGTGAAGTTTAATGCTCAATGAAAATGTATTAATACTCAACCAGTAGAACTTACGATTTTTATATCAATGCATATTTCAGAAGTATAATATTGAATTAAATTCTCATATTGGAATTCATAATAGTGGTTTATAAATACAATTTAATAATTTTAATAAAAGAAAAAATAAGAAAAAGAAAGTGAATTAGAAGATATGAAACAGAGATCATGACGCTCAATATTAGACTCCTAATCTTCAACGAAATTGGTCTGATGCTCAGTATGAGATCATTAATGCTCATTTAACAGAAACCATGATTTTCATCTCGATAGAGGAGGTTAGATGCTCCATGAAAATGTCGCGATATTCAACTAACAAACCTTATGATTTTCATACCAATGCACATTGTGTAAGTTACATATGCTCATTTAGTAATGATTTTATGCTCATACATGAAATGTCATATCAATGCATATTTAAAAAATATCATATTACATTAAATTTGCATATACAACTTCATAGAAGTTGATTATAGATATAATTTAATAAGTGTTTATAAAAGAAAAAATAAGAAAAAGAAGTGACTTAGATGATATGAAGCGGTGATCGCGATACTCATTGTTTGGCTTCTAATAATCAATAGAATAAGTCAGATGCTTACTAAAATTAAACTAATGCTCATTTAGCGGAAGTCGTGACCTTTCTTTTAAATTACAAAAAGGCCACCGAAAAAAATTGCCCCTTCCACTTGTTTCCCACCTTAAACATTGGACCTTTTGATTATTAGCTAATGAGTTGTTTTCTTTAATTGGACTGGATGTAGGGCTGAGCAAGAATCCTGTCAAACCGGCAAACCGGATCAGAACCGGACCGGTTAAACCGGATCCGGACCGGAATGTAATCCGATCCGGTTTTTGGTTTTAGAAATTCAAAAAACCTGTTACGGGTCCGGGTCCCGTTAATATACGGGAAATATGCAGTAGCGCACTAGCGCATAGCCATTAGCCGCATAACGTACCCTAGTCCCTAACTCCAGTCCGTTCATCTTCTCCGTTCTACTTCTACTCCTCTCACGCGGTCAGCACTCAGCCGGTCACTCCTCTCCGTTTATCTGCTGCGGGCCTGGGGCAGTAAGCAGCCAAGTGGACGACTGCCAGAGCAACTCCAGGTCTCCAGCAAGATTGAGTCTTCGACTGCATCTCAAACCAGGTAAATTGAACACTCCCTACCAAGTATAAAGGTTTAAACTTGATAAATTAATTGTTAATTCAACTAGGTGTGTTCCAGTATAATTCAACTTTGAGATTGGCTGTCTCGTTAATCAAAATTCTGAATATTTTTATGTTTTCATCCCAAAAGATTTGATTTTATTTAGCTAATTTGGGGTTTGGGTTTTGGATAATTGTTTTTGTGCTAAGATAATGTCAAACAATATACTTCATACTACAGGGGTTGGATGATATTGAGTTTATGGAGTGTTTGTAAACAATGTTCATATATAAGCGTATAGCCCAAAATTTTCCTCATATATAACTAATAACAAATGAAAATCATCAAATGCAAATGCCAGTGGACAGGACTACAAAATTAGAACTCAATATGGAAACAAGTAAGGTGATAATAATCACGAATGGACCAGAAATATGAGAACCTACTCTTGTTTAATTTCCCACTCGTATATAATATATAATACTAGTATATATCAATCGTTCATTATATGTTAGTTTTCATCCAAGATATGTGAACACTAATAACGAATAATAATGACCACCAAAAAGAAAAGGAAACAGTGAAAATTTTAAAAATTGCAGATTTTTTCCCGCTCTTTTTGACTCTTCAACTGCCTTAATATACTCCCCTTGCTCATCCCTAGCAATCCAGCCCCAAGCTCTTATCTCTTCCGTCTGATTGACCGCAACATCAACATTTATCTTGATAATTCTCCGACTGGGTCTCTGCCAGCTCATCACTGCATCTCTTCCCCCTGCGTCAACTTTGAGCCCAGCTGTTGCGCCTCTCGCCAAGAGTCCAGCATGCTTGCCGCCGCACTGAGAATTGCCGCCGTCCCCTGCCATTTATCTTTCCACACAAAACTGTTTCGCCTCTTCCAAATACTCCACAACAGCATTATAAATTTACCTCTTTTCTCCTTGCACGGCAAAGCAATTTGAGATTGCACCCAGGTCTCCACAGTATCAGTGAGAGAGCCAATCTCCACTCCCACCATTTGCCAAACTTCCCGAACCTTCTCACAGGATCTAATAGCATGATCCGTTGTCTCCGCTTCCCCTCCACACAGCTTGCACTCTGTTTGAAGTTCCACCTACCTTGTAGATAAATTATCAAGGGAAGGAAGGGATCCATCCAAGATTTGCCACGCCAAATACTTCATCTTTGGAAAAAAAGGTATAGCCATCCTCTCGGTCCTGCAAGTTCTCACAAAGTTGACCATCCATTCCAGCTTGCCGTACTCGACCAATCCACTACTTTTCGATAACAGCTCTTCACTGAAAAACAACCATTCTTCTCTCCAGTCCACCAATAGCCATCCTCTCGGTCCTGCAAGCTAATAAGAATGCTCAAAATCAAATCACTATCAGCCTTATTAAAAGTGGACGCAGTTTTCTCCCTATTCCAATTCTTCTCGGTAAAATCCCTCGGTGCCGCAACACCCATGTCCCTGATACCCACCGGTCTACTTGACTGAATCATGCCCGTGCCCTGCCCAGGATGCCAGGCATCTGCCCAAACATGAATATCCTTCCCGTTTCCCACTCTGCGCCTAACATTTTTTTCCAAGATTTCTTGGGTCTCAAATATACTCCTCCAAATAAAAGATGGATTATTTCCCAATCTAGCTTTTAAAATACTTGTGCCGGGAAAATATCTTGCCTTTAGAACACGCGCCATTAGACTCCTTGCATCTGTTATTAAGCTCCATCCCTGCTTAGCCAACATTGCTAAATTAAAATCTCTTAATTTTCTAAACCCCAAAGCCACTGCTCCTTTTGGTTTACACAAGAGATCCCATCTCCTCCACCTAAGGCCTTTTTGGTCAAACTTTGACCCTTTCCATAAAAAACCATTCATTAGCTTCTCAATTTCATCACAAAAATCCCTCGGAAGCAAGAAAATATTCATGGCATACGTGGGCATAGTCTGAATAACATTCCGGAGTAGAACATCCCTACCCGCCCGGGACAAGAACCTATTGTTCTAATTTTTAATTCTACTCACGATACGGTCACGAAGATAACTTAAGATAGTCGTTTTACCTCTTCCCACCAAGGCCGTAAACCAAGATACTTGTTCTGACCGCTATCTAATGGTACGCCAAGTCGCCGACAACAGGCCTCTCTGGACTCCTCCACATTCTGGCTAAAAGTAAGTGTAGATTTATCATAATCAATAGCCTATCCAGAATATCTTTCATAGACCTGCAAGATCTTTTTAATCACATCACATTCATGATTATTCACCTTAAAAAATAGGAAACTGTCATCCGCAAATAATAAATGAGAAACCCTTTGAGCTCCCCGACACACGGCCACACCATGAATATCTCCACGAGCCCCCGCCCTTCTTAACAATGCACTCAGACCGTCTGCAACCAAAATAAATAAATAAGGTGATAGAGGGTCCTCCTGCCAGAGTCCCCTGCCTGGAATACTTGGCCCCAAATATTCCTTATCAAACTGAACATAATAGCTCTCTGAGATCACGCACTGCATAATAAGATGGACCCACTGCTCGTCAAAACCCCTGCGTAGCATGATCTTTCGTAAGAAGAACCATTCCACCCTATCGTACGCCTTACTCATATCCAGCTTCATGGCCACAAATCCCTCTTTACCAAACCTTTTCCGTGTAAGAAAATGTTGTGTCTCGAATGCCACAATTATATTATCAACAATAGACCTGCCTGCCTGGTATAAATGCACTTTGGTTCTCTCCCACTAATGAGCCCAAAATATCTTTTAGTCGGTTAGCAAGAATCTTAATTTTTTTTTATAAACAACATTGCATAAGGCAATAAGTCTCCAATCCCCCATATTGACTGGTTTCTCCTTTTTAGAAATTAAAACAATATTAGTAATATTTAACTCTGATGGGAGATAACCTGTATCAAAAATGGTGGAGCAAAGCTGAGAAATCTCTGGTCCCAAAAAGCTTGGGAAAACGACGGATTCATCCCATCAGCCCCCGGTGCTTCTCCGGATGCATGCCTAAAACTGTCACCTTAACCTCTTCCGGACAAATAGGTTTCAGGAGTTTCCTATTTTGCACATCCATGACTTTAGAAAAATTTCCAAAGTCCCTCGTCAGATCCCTTTCTTCACTGGCCTTAAATAAATTAGTAACATACTCCAGAATAGTACTGCCCATTTTTTCACGATCCGTGGACTAGGACCCATCTTCTAGGGTGATTCCTTGCATCTTATTTTTTCTTCTTCTCTGTTTCACAGCATTGTGAAAAAAGTGGGAATTAATATCCACTTCTTTCAGCCAAAATTCTTTTGCCCTTTGCTTCCAGAAAAGATTCTCTCTCCATCATATAGAGAACAAACTCTATATTCTCCGTACATGTACATTACAAATGAAAATAGGCCAAATTAACTATTAACGGTCAAATATAAAACCCAGCTTTTCCCAATATATAGTTTTAGACAATGGTTTGTAGATATAATCATATAAGTCGTATGATAGACGACTAGAAGTTATTATTGAGAACTTCAAACTACTTCAAAGCTCCCTCAATAAATACTATTTGCATCATGATGAAACCAATTTTTGATGTTATCGTAATCACTGAAAGTTTAATATGGAGTATGTACTATCTGAATAAGTGTATAACTTATTTCTCATGTTTTGAGTACCAATTTAATTGCATCACCTAATGCAGAAATCAAAGAAGAATATAACAGGATGGAAACCCTCATTAGTCACCATGCGGGCTGCTTTACTAGAATAACTTTTCGTATCTTGGTTACAATGATAAACTAAACATGCCCAAACTATAAAGAACTTAAAAAGCCTTTTTATTGAGTTTGATTTTAAGGAATTGAGCTTGAGAGCCAAATGAGTTGAAATATTCATGTTTCGTTCGGGAAGAGTTTATTTCAGTTTTGAAATGAAAGCAAAAGCTATCTACTTTCTTCCAAATGCCTGGAAAAGTCACATTCAAAACAACAATAAAATTATCCCATTGCTCCAAAGGCTCCCACCTATGGTGGAGAAGGGGAGTTGGATTTACGCAGCTATACCCCTGTGCTAAAGCACAAAGAGACTGTTTCCGGATGATCCATGATGAAAATCGCGTCAAGAATTGATGATTCCATCATATTCTGTCATTTGCTTTGGTCCATTGGAAGGCGCGAGGCGTGCACCTCTTGGAACTTAAAATGTCACATATACAGATAAAAGTAAAAACAATAATCTAAGGATACGGCACAATGCAATTCTCTTCCATCTCATTAGTGATTTTAATTCACCATTTGAATAGAATAACGAGATTATCTAGAAATGAAGATGAAGGGAATGGGGTTTCATTGATGATTTTCATTGATTTTTGCTTCACATCTGCTCGGTTTAATATTTTTTTTTGTTTTGAGATATTATTAAGGAATCCTCCTGACTGGGTTTTCTAGTTAATCAAGATCATTCTTATTTTATAGAACACATTTTTGTGTTTCTGTATTCAGCTTCAGCTACCTTACTATCCAAGACCAACATCCCTTTAGATGGACCAAAGGGATGAAAAGAGTAAAATAAGTCATTTTTCTACTGTTAGCTTGCCTATTTGTTTTCACTGTTTTTGCCTTCAATCCCTTCATAAAGCGTGCATGTGATTTTTTGTGTTAAATAACATGGGAATTTCACTTTTGATATTGTCATTAGATGATAACACATAAAGTAACCGGAGAAACATTTCATTTTATTGCATTAAGTAGTTGAGTTACTTTTGTGGTTACAATTTGAACATAAAAGAATAAGGAATTAGGAACAAATAAGGACTTTGTGTCTTGAAGTTGAATACTCATTTTTTTTCTTATTTCGCTGATTTTATGTCACTGTGTCTAGCTTTGGGCTTTCACAATTTCGTGTCTGGCACTAGTTTTTTTCTGTGCTTCTTGAACCAGAATACTCACAGTACAGTTTGGCACTTGGGCAACATTTTTTAATTATATACCGAGTACAATGTTTTATCTTCTTTATCTTTTTATGTTCTTATGATATTTTTATCTTCTAGCTTTTTATGCTCTTTTATCTTTTTATCTTTTATCTTTCTTATATTCTTACGTTATTGTTATCTTATATTTATTTATCTTTATCTTACTTTTTTTTGTCTTATTGTCTGGCATCGATATTATGGATCGATTCATGTTAGCCGACCCCAAAATCTTTTGGGATTAAGGCTTGGATGTTGTTGTTGTTGTTGTATACCGAGTACAATGTACGATCAAAAAAGTCCTTTTCATCTTTCCCTCGCGGTACTTGTTCACTATCGGTCTCTAGCCTATATTTAGCCTTGGACGGAATTCACAACCCGATTTGGGCTGCATTTCCAGGAGTACTAGTTAAGCACACAATCATTTAAGCTTCCCAATTTGTTTTTAACAGTCAAGTATGATGATTTGAGTTAGGAACTTATGCTATGTTTGCTTCTTTTGTGTCTGAGAAGTGAAAACAGTTGTAGTATGTATACGTTAGTATTTATGTAATGGGATATTTGCAATGGAGTCAAAGACTCATTATTTTTTGGCTTAGGAATATGATGAAATAAAGCAAAATGACTCACTAAAATGTCTGCGCTACTTTGTTATGAAACAACAGTCAGTCCATGCAATTTTGACGTGATTTTCATTATGGGTCATTCGGAAACAGTCTCTCTGTACTTTCGTACAGGGGTAAGGCCGCGTACATCCGACCCCCCCTTACCTCACTGTAGGTGGGAGTCCTTGCGGCATTGGGGTAATGACGATGAATGAATGAATGAGTAAATTATTTATTTGTTGGAGTCAGTCATTGTGTTATACCACACTTTTTCTTTACTGCAAAGCAGTGATGTTGCTCCAGTGTGTTTTTATGCATTAAAAAGCTTGCTGTCTCCTAGATACTGATGGTATTTGCTGCATTTTTAGTAGTTACAGGACAGTTGTAGAATTTCAATTCTTTTTTCCTACCAGTTGTAATAACGCGATTGTTGATTCTTATTCTTACTTTTGTTGCATTCGACAGTTTTTAGCGGCGAAACCATGGCCAGAATCGCCCACATATTTCAAATCATGGCTGTTTATTTTGGGAGGAAGCCACGACCAGTTGAATTCGGATTGCCCCGGCTATTGCACCACGGCCCAGACACTGTTGAGGAGCTTCTTGATAGGCACATCGTCAAGGAGAAGAAGAATAGTCTAGATGATAAAGATATCTATACTCGCCAGCGGCTCACTGGAACTCATCGCGAGGCACTGAGTCTCTATCGAGACATCATCCGGGCTACCCGTTTCTTTATGTGGCCCGACTCCCGAGGTGTTCTATGGCGTGATATTCTTAGAGAGAATACCCGAAAGGAATTTGAGGATGCCCGGTTCGAAAGGGACCCAGAAGTTATCACGCGTTTGCTGATTGGGGGTCACGACGCCTTGCAAGCTGCCCTCGACAAACTTGTAGAGAAACAAAAGCAAGAGATCAAGAAGCTGTAAGGAAATTCACAATTTTCCAATTTTCAGTGGTAATATTTTTGTATGACTTATTCTGGCAAAAAACATGTATATATAAATAACTAAACCTGGGTGAAGTTATTTTGCATAAATGCGTGTTAAAGAGGAAGCTGTTATGGACAAACTGCTAGCTAGTTCATAAACGGAAATATATCAGTTACCTGTAACCCTTTTAGCAGCGCGAGAAGTTTCTTAATTTTCAAAGTGTGCGGCTTTTCATTAGTTGATGATGATCTACCACAAGTTTTGATGTCGATGAAGTGTTTGATTGCAAGGTTTGATACTTGGATGAGGATGTGACGGTATCAGAGATGACATATAAGAGAGGTCTTTTCTGGAAGCAAAGGGCAAAAGAATTTTGGCTGAAAGAAGGGGATATCAATTCCTGCTTTTTCCACAATACTGTGAAACAAAGAAGAAGAAAAAATAAGATGCCAGGAATCACCATATCAATTCCTAGTCCACGGATCGTGAAAAAATGGGCAGTACTGTTCTGGAGTATTTTACTAATTTATTTAAGGCCAGTGAAGAAAGGGATCTGACAAGGGACTGGAAATTTTTATAAAGTCACAGATGAGCAAGATAGGAAGCTCCTGAAACCTATTTGTCCAGAAGAGGTTAAGGTGACAGTTTTTGGCAGGCATCCGGAAAAGGCACCGGGGGCTGACTGGATGAATCCGACGTTTTCCCAAGCTTTTTGGGACCAGAGATTTCTCGGCTTTGCCCCACCATTTTTGATACAGGTTATCTCCCATCCGAGTTAAATATTACTAATATTGTTTTAATTTCTAAAAAGGAGAAATCAGTCAATATGGGGGATTGCCTTATGCAACGTTGTTTATAAAAAAAATTCTAAGATTCTTTCTAACCGACTAAAAGATATTTTGGGCTCATTAGTGGGAGAGAACCAGAGTGCATTTATACCAGGCAGGTCTATTGTTGATAATATAATTGTGGCATTCGAGACACAACATTTTCTTAAACAGAAAAGGTTTGGTAAAGAGGGATTTGTGGCCATGAAGCTGAATATGAGTAAGACGTATGATAGGGTGGAATGGTTCTTCTTACACAAGATCATGCTACTTTTGACGAGCGGTGGGTCCATCTTATTATGCAGTGCGTGATCTCTGTGAGCTATTATGTTCAGTTCGATAAGGAATATTTGGGGCCAAGTATTCCAGGCAGGGGACTCATGCAGGAGGACCCTGTATCACCTTATTTATTTATTTTGGTTGCAGACGGTCTGAGTGCATTGTTAAGAAGGGCGGAGGCTCGTGGAGATATTCATGGTGTGACCATGTGTGGGGGAGCTCAAAGGGGTTCTCATTTATTATTTGCGGATGACAGTTTCCTATTTTTTAAGGCGAATAATCATGAATGTGATGTGATTAAAAAGTTCTTGCAAGTCTATGAAAGATGTTCTGTATAGGCTATTAATTATGATAAATCTACACTTGCTTTTAGCCAGAATGTGGAGGAGGAGTCTAGAGATGCCTGTTGTCGGCAACTTGGCGTACCATTAGATAGCGGTCAGAGCAGGTATCTTGGTTTACTGGCCTTGGTGGGAAGAGGTAAAACGGCTGTCTTAAGTTATCTTCGTGACCGTATCGTGAGTAGAATTAAAAATTGGAACAATAGGTTCTTGTCCCGGGCGGGTAGGGTTGTTCTACTCCGAAATGTTATTCAGGCTATGCCCACATATGCTATGAATATTTTCTTGCTTCTGAAGGAATTGTGTGATGAAATTAAGAAGCTAATGAGTATACTCCACGAATGCTATGAATATTTTCTTGCCCCATAGCGTTTTCCCGAGGAATTCAATCGCGGGAGCAGTCACCTCTCTAAACCCGAGTCTTTAAATATACTCCATCAGTAATCTAGCTTCTTCTTCTAGCAGTGATTGGATTCGAGGTCCTTTTCAACCAAATATGGGTCGACCAATGGAAGAAGATGCCCCTGGGAAGAATGAGGAAGAGAAATTCAACACAGGGCCAATGGAACAAGAATTTAGTGCGGTCGGCAATGTCCTAATGAATTATAGAACGAGATCGAGCGCAAAATCTCTTGAAACGCTTGTTTGCTTTCACGATTGGTTGAAGGTCCAACATAGAACTCAAGAAATTAGTATCGCCCCCCTCTACTTCATGGAGGAAACAATAATCGACGATGTCGGAGATTCTGATCGTTTTTTTAGGAAATGTATTTAATTTTTAAATTTTACTCAATTTTCAATTGTACTTCATATTTGAAATAAATATACTTTAACTTTTTATTCATCAAGAAGAGTGTAGGGGTCAACAACTGATTTCACAAAAAGATGATGCTTATTGTTGAGTTGTTCCTTGTTTAAATATGTGCCTATTCAAATCAGCAGCTGTGTTTACATTCAGGAGAATGTATTCCCTGGTTCCAAATTTTCTCCAAAACTTTGGCTTTATATAACGTCATCTAGAATGTTGTGCGCCTCCATATAAAGTCAGAGGCGGTGCAACCCTATCGGGCCTTCCATTTTTGCTGGGTGAGAAGAGGAAGTTGTTCGTATCATTGATCACCCGACTCACTCTTCCAAAGGAAAGTCTTGGATTCAAAAAACCCGTGAAAGCAATTTTAGCCCTTTATACCATGGATCTTTGGTATCTACGTGATTTTCTTCTACGAATGAATGGTTATATTTTTGAGACGTATTTATAGTAGGTCTAAATTAGTTTCTCAATCACAAACAAAGTCTTACTCATTAATGAGTTCTGATTCTATCAAGATAATTACTCATTGCTATTAATACAACTAAAATGAATGAAAATAGAAAATAAAAAGTTGAACTAAATAAATAGGGGTTGCGTCACGCCATGCCTATATCGTATAACGGTGACATTTTTGTAATTTTAGTTGAAAATCACGACTTCTGTAAATTGAGCATTAATGTACAGTTATTGAGCATCAAACCTATTCTGTTGAATATTCCAAAATTGAGCATCGTGATATGTGCTTCATATATTTCAATTCACTTTCTTTTTCTTAATTTTTTATGTAAAATTATTAAATTATGCCTATAATCAACTCCTAAGAATTCCATTACGCTAATCTAATTTAACATTATAATTTTGAGATACGCATTGATATGAAAATCGTAAGCACTGCTAGTTGAGTATCAAGATATTTTCATTTTGCATCAAGCTTCATCTATTCAGCTTTAAAACTCTGCAATTGAGTATACAAAATTTAAAACATCATTTGAGCATTAGAACATTTTCATTGAGTACTGTGTTTACTATTATTGAGCAAAGAGACTATGTGTATTGAATAGTGGAACTCCATAATTGAGTATAAAAAATTTCAAAACCTCGCATGAGAATCAAAAGATCTACATTGAGTGTCGTATTCTCCACTATTAAACATGGAGACTATGTGTATTATTCAACATTAGAACTCCGCAATTGAGTATATAAAATTTCAAAAGCTAAATTAAGCATTAAAACATCTTCATTCAGTATCATGTTATCTACTATTGAGATCAAGACTCTGTGTATTGAACATTTGTTGAGGTTTATTCCTTTCAACCCGTAGGCCCAACACACAACCTATGGGCTTCGAATGGGTAATTTAGGAGAGTAAGATGAAACAAGTAAAATGAGGTCCAATAAGAAGTTTCAATATAATTATGCGGTTAAAGGCATGAGGCCGTTCGTACTTACAAGACGTGAGGCCATTCGTACAGATGTTGTGTTACAAGTGAGGACGTTCGTCCCCAGATATGCTACGTGATAATAAAAATGCTATAATACTAGAGTGTTAAGTTGCCCGCCTTTACAATGAAATAAATCCTACTATTTATACCGCCAATGGATAGTTAGATGCATTGAACCCAGCTGTGGATGACTTGACCCCAAACACCAAATCCTCTGTATTAAATGCGTGACCACCAGGATCTTGGCTTCACGCCAAGGGGTGGGCACGTTTCTCCCCATGGGCTTGTCTAGCTTGATCCCGACCATCAAATCTTCTGCATTAAATGCGCAACCACCAAATATTCTGTATTAAATGGAGAATCCTGCCAGGATCTTGGCTGTCCCTACCAGGGATGGGGACGTTCGTCCCCAAGTCCTATGAGACGTGCGTCTCATTCTGCTCCTAGGCCAAGGTATCTGCTACGCTAGGATACGTACGTCCCCTGGATGATGGGGAAGGCTATCCCGTTATCTTGGGCCTTCTGGGGACGTTCGTCCCCATGAACTTGCCTCCGTTCGTAAGGTATCCCATTGTCTTGGGTCTTCTGGGGACGTTCGTCCCCATGAGCTTGCCTCTTGTTTCCTGCCGAAGTCCTGTGAGACGTGCATCTCGTGCTGCTCCTGGGTCAAGGTACCCGCTACGCTAGGATACGTATGTCCCCTGGATGATGGGGAAAGGGTATCCCATTGTATTAGGCCTTCTGGGGACGTTCGTCCCCAGTAACTTGCCTAGTGTTTCCTGCCGAAGTCCTGTGAGACGTGCATATCGTGCTGCTCATGGGCCAAGGTACCTGCATACGCTAGGATACGTACGTCCCCTGGATGGGGAAGGGTATCCCGTTGGCTTGGGCCTTCTGGGGACGTTCGTCCCTAGGAATTTGCCTATTGTTTCCTGCCGAAGTTCTACGAGACGTGCGTCTCGTTCTGTTCCTGGGCCAAGGTACCCGCTACGCTAGGATACGTACGTCCCCTGGATGATGGGGAAGGGTATCCTGTTGGCTTGGTGTAATACCGCAAAAATTTGAGAGAATTTGGGAAATATTAAAATTTGTGTTTCGTATCATTTAGATGGTCTTTAGATAGTTTATTATGTTTGGTTTAGTGTTTGGGACCAAGGGGAGATCCAAACGGGAAAGAAACGGGGCAAAAACTAAGGTTTGGGGCGCCTGGGGGTCACGCCTGGCGTGTGTGGCAAGAAAATCAAGCGAAATAGCTACTGCTAGTCACGCACGGCGTGCCTGGAAGGTACGCACGACACCAAAACTACTATTATGTATTAATTAGGATTTGTGCTATGATTGAGTTTCTTTCTGAAATTTTATGAATATTTTGGTTATTATAGTATGAATATAATGATGTATTATTTTCTAGGAATTTTTGAGAGTATGATTGATGGTGAATTTATCAAATTAGTTTGCTATGGCTAAAATTGTGATTTTTTAGGATTGTTCTTTTGGGATTGGAAAAAGTCAGATGATTGTTTTGGTATGAGTTGAAGTATGATTTGAGACTATTCTGATTGGTTATATTGAAAATATATTATGGGTTTAGAATACCCCAATTGGATTATTTTGGTAGTGATAGTAAATGCTACTTTTGGGAAGTGGTTGTTTGGGTTAAACCCTCTTTTTGGAAAATGTTGTGAGAACAAATCTTTTGGGACAAATTATATATTTTTAAATGTATAATTTGGTATGACAATTTACATATATATTCTCGAGTTATAAATATCCTTATTGGATCATTTTGAACATGAGATTAAACATTATTTTGGAAATAGTTTTGGTAAACCCTAATTTGTGAACTTTGACCTTGAGTTGGATATGTTTGGGATATGATTTTGAGATATGAATCTGAAAAGGATATTTTGAGAAAGTGTTTTGAATCTAAATAATATTTGTGCAATCTATGAACTACATGTTCATAATGATATGTGAGTAACCTATGAACCATATGTTCATAATGATAAGTGGAGTAATCTATGAATCGAAAGTTCATAATGATCGGTGGAGTAATCTATGAACCATGAGTTCATAATGATAGGTGTAGTAATCTATGAACCACGAGTTCATAATGATAGGTGGAGTAATCTATGAGGGTGTTTGGAGGAGCTAAAATGGGCTGATCAGCCTGAAACTCCAAAAAAAACACCAAACGTTCATTGAATGAGCTTATCCGGCTGATTTCTATTATCAGCTGAAAAATCAGCCTTGGAGTTACTTTATCAGCCGATTTCTATTTTTCTACGGTTATAGCTTTAAAAGACGTTTCTATCCTCTTCAAAGCAAGCTGTGAAGTGTGTGTGACTACACGGCTGGAACGTAACGTCAAAACCTTTTGGAATTAAGTCAGTAATGGCGTATTGTGAAAGTTGAAACTAGTGGCTGCTGTGCAATTACAAATTAAACAAATGCCTTTTCTAAGTTTTTTTTGAAAATACATATATTGGTAAAATTAGTGGCTGCTGTGCAATTATAAATTACACAAATGTCTTATAAGCATTTTTTTTGACAATACGTATATTAGTAAAAATCAACCCCTGCTAACATACATATATTCAAAATACAAAGAAAGTAATACCCCTTTTGGTAATTTTACATTAAATCAGCCAATTCAGCCAAAATACTGGCAAACACTTTCACTTCAGAAATTTCAGCCATTTAAGCACTTTCAGCACTTTCAGCCGTTGTAGCCATTACCAAACAGGCCCTATGAACCATGAGTTCAATAATGATAGGTGGAGTAATCTATGAACTATATGTTCATAATGAAATTTTTAGTAAACTATGAACTACAAGTTCATAACGATCTTTGGAGTGGAGTAATCTATGAACAACATGTTCATAATGATAGGACCGGTAGACAACCCGGGTATTCGTGTAGTATGGATAATATTTTTGAATTGAAAAGTAAATGGTTTTTGAGAATTAATTGTGGATAAGTATTTAGTAGAATATGAAATCTATATGAATAAGTATTAATAAACTACTCCGTTGAGTCTCAAAGGTTGTCTCAAAGGTTGTTTTGAATAATGAATGTGATTTGAAACTTGAAAATTGTATTGTTGGAACTAAATGGATTTTTGAACCTATACATTAAGTACCAAATCTATTTTCTTCAAACTATATAGGTTGGGTGGGTCTTACTTAGCTAAAAAGCTAACTTTGGTTTCCTTTTCTTTGTTTTGTTTTCTGCACTTTATTTGGTGCAGGTGATGAAGAGTATGCTTGATGAAGAGAGCCTGATAGATCGCTTAGATTAGTTATTAGTTACATTAATGAAATTTCATAATTTCAGAACTTGTCGTTATTTCTTTTACTTTCCGTTTTGGAAATTAGTACTTATGTTATTTTGGATTGTGGTTTAGCTTGTGCATTTGGTTGTGTGAGAACCGAATGTGGCGGTAACACCCATTGAATATTAGGCTTCCGCTGCAATTTAAACTCTTTTGAATTAAATGTTTTGAGAAACTCTTTCTATACTTGCTATAATTAGCATCTAATTTGGGTATAAATTTGAGGGTATTACACTTGGGCCTTCTGGGGACGTTCGCCCCCATGGCTTTGGCCACGTTGGGGACGAACCTCGCCATGGGCTAACCCGTTGTCTTGGGCCTTCGCGGGGCGTTCGTAGAGTGGGCCTTTAAG